AGAGAGAGAGAGAGAGAGAGAGAGAGAATGTTGTTATTGTTATTTTAACACAAGTCGTACGGAACATATCGAAAGTAAATATTAATATAATGTAAACTAACATTAGATGCAATCCTTCTAAATATTACCACAAATAAACATTTCAACATACAGTACTGTAAATCCAGTAGTCTATGATTTTTATTTAGCATTAATATAGTAATATAAAAGTGTAATATTGCAATAAACTACTGTTTATGTGTCTTGTATTGTATAACTTAATTCAGTATTTAATAATTTAACTTTAGATAAACAGATCTTATTTCATGAAATTCTATCGTAAACTTGAATGAATTCACAATTATTAAGGTTTTTAATGAATTGGTCTTTGTTTATAAAATATAATATTCTAATACCAAGTTTACAGTACAGTTCAGTACAATTTACGTACAAATATGAAATGAAATCAAGATTAAAGACTTGTCAGACTTTTTGGCACAACACTCTTTTCCTACGTTTAATATAAACTTTACATTCATTTGGATTGTATTTAAATATAATTATAGAATTTGATTGATTTATCATTTCATTCATCATTAATTAAAATATTGTAAACAGTTTTCAATATTTTTAAAAAATTTTGATTAAATAAAAACCTATACATAAGTATAATAATATAATATATAATATTCTTTATTTAAAAACTTGTTTAAAAAAATACATGTAGTATTAAAAATAATCGTTTAATTTATTAACATATTTAGTCATATTATTTTCACACACATAAAGTCTTAACGAAGTTTACACAATTTAATTGACAAATTAATCAAATACCGTCAATGCATTTGTCTTAAGTTTAAATTGTTTTTAATATAAATCTAGACTCAAATGACAACACTACGATATGTAACCATGATTAAAATTTGTACATTATTCCACATTTTCTGTATTACATTGTCTGAAAGAAGACTAAATAAACATTATTACTATATGTTCTTAAATTGAGTTGTTTATATAGAGGTTCAACTGTATTGAATACTAATTGAAAATTGAACTATTGAAAATAATAATTTTATATAATTGACATGATAATATAATGGGCGCGCAATACGGGTGATGGTGTGTAAAGCTGCGGACAATACACTTACTGTCCGGAGCCCTATTTCCCTACACATTCGGATTCCTTCCGGAAACTTTGCGGATTCCGTCCGCCCGTCTGCGCGCGTATTATATGCGCTCATTAAATGTTGAACACAATTAAAAGTAAATGTAATTTAATGTTTAAACATTTGAATAAACTTATACAGTGAGTCTTAAAAGTGAAACTTTGTGACACTCAGATTGAGCTTATATAATACTGCCTATGCTGGTGGGCTGGGCAGTCGTTATACTGTACAGTATATACAGTACACTCTTCTGCTTAGAATGTCACAAACAGTTCGGGAAATTTGGTGGGGGTTTGGGTTTACATAACATGGCTTTTTATGGGTAGTGTGGGGTTCTATGGAAAGATCTCTTATTATACTCTAATATCATCTTTATTCAAATTGTTCAGTCGTTTTTAGTCATATTATGAAAGCGCTTAATATTAGAACAAATTTATATTAATTGTTATACAATTATATTTATTTATAAAGTATTTGGTGTCATGTTGTGTGGTGTAAGCCTTGTGCGGGGCATCCGTTGTGTGAGCGCTGGTATGTTATTATTTAGTGTAGTGTTTGCGAGGGTTGGCACTCGTCTCAGTGTATTTACGCCCTGTAAAGGTCGGATCATATTAACGGGGTTTGAACCACCTGTCAGTCCGTAAGTCGAGCTAATAAACGATTAGAAATGAAGTGATTAAGTGAATAATGATTGAATAAAGTGTTGAGCTGTTTGTGTGACAATGAAATAATGAGAAATGTAATCAAATTAAACAAATGGTTATTTAAAATTATTTTTCAGTCAATTATGATTGAAGAATAATTCAAACAATTATTAGATTAATTTCAAATATATTTCTCGCAACACTTAAAAATAAATAAATCATATAATTTTATTATCAATAATTTTTATTTAGTTTTAATAAATATTTTGAAAAGTTTATTTATATAATTGTAGAGAAATTGTAATTTTTATATCAAAGTGTATTTTAAACATTGATTTAAAATACATAATATTATAGAATAAATTAACAAATAATTGATCAACAATTCAAATATTTTAAAATATGTTAAATTGATGTAAAATTTAATTTTAAAAGTTGTTTAGACTCTAAAATTCGCAAAATATTGATGCTATCAATTGATAATTTGATTGAATGATAAAATGTCCACCAATTTTGCGAAGAAGTGTGGTTTTAATCATATTATTAATACAATATTCATATTATTAGATTTGAATAATAATTTCTATTAATTATATTTGAAATATTTTAAAGGATTACAATTAATAGGATATCAATTCTGAATATATAGTTTGAAATAATTTGCTGCAGATGTGCGCCAATTGGTTGTAAAGCAGTCCTTATTATGTCTTCTATTAAAAGATGGTTTTTGTCTTTTATTTATATGACGTTTAATAAACATTTTAAAATATGAACTCAAAAAACATTAAATTCATGGATTGGTTGTCATGTAATCAAATAACAGTTAATACAAATTCAATTGATTTTATCACAAATATTTCGTTCAACAGATTTCTTGAGTTTATATTAAAAAATCAGTTTATATTAGTTATCAAATAAAAAGCCGTTTATTAATAGATTGTCATTAAATAAATAATAAATAATATTAGTTATAAATGGCTTTGTTTCAATTTTAGTTTTAATTTTAAATTCAATTTCAAATTACCTAGAATACCAATTTCATTATAATAGTTGTTTAAATAATATAACTAACAGTAACTAATTGCTAAAATTATTAAATTAATTGTTAAAACTTTGATATGGTTTTTGATCTGTTGTGCTGAGTGTTTGAATAATAAATATATTTTATTGCAGAATATTTCATATTTTAAAAATAATTTACTAAAAACTGGTAATTTTGTTTAACATCTAATAAATTCTTTAAAGTTTGTATTAATTGTGATTATGTTATAAAATGTTATTACTTTTATTGGTATTATTATTGGTCTCATATAATATTATTTAGTTTATTTTAAGCTATAGTTTAATGTTAATGTGATTTTTATCTAATCATTTGCCATAACAAGTGGCAAAAAGTAGAAATTAAATAAATTATTTATAAACTATATTAAGTGTATATAAATATAATGAAAATATAGAGTATATGGGGTCTAAATATAATGAGAAGAATGAATTGTAACTAAATTGAATTGATTTGTAAGAACTAGCTATAAATTGTCGGATTGATGAGATGATTTATAGTGATGATGTGCATGATGGTGACTATGATGTGGATGATGATGGTATTTGGGATGTAGTTTAGTTGATTCAGGAGGTGTTCCTATCATCGGACTTAACAATGATTGTGTTTCTGCGTGGATGACAGTTGTCTGACTTAACTCACAGTCAGATTCGTTGCCCGTATCCGGTATTTCCGGTATTAAAAGCCTATCGAAGTGGTCTCTAGTGTGGTCTCTAGTCTGCTCTCTAGTAGATGTGGTATAACTCTCTTGACTACTCTTACGACTAGCTGTGGAACTCATAGGTATGTCATCGATGTAATCAAAATCGGATGAATCTCTGCCCAAAACAGAACCCATTTCATCGCTAATACACAGAGATTCTAGTTCTGTGCCTAAAGTGCTCGACTCCGACACCATTTCCCGATCCACCGAATCGGCCGAAGAGAGTGTCACTCTTGAGTCGTTTTGTGCATTTGTATGATTGGTGTCGACGTCTGTCTCGAGTTTGATGGCTGGCGCCGATGCCGTCGCCGACGACAACATTATACCACCGATTATTGACGAATCACTTCTCGCACTCCTATGGGCTTCGCTTACAGTTCGTTGAGTGCCAGCACTGGAGCACCGGTTCACTGCTGTGTCCAACGAGTGTCTCAAAGTGACCCTTTTCTTCACAAACCTCTGACTTAAATCGGAGTTTCCTCTTTGGATCTGTTTGTCGACACATCTGGCGATTGGAGTATTAGGTTCTGATGATTGCTTATCAATGAGTATTGGCTTTGGCTTCGCCAGTGTTGCCGACGCTAACGGAGACAATGAGCCGTTTGGAAAGGATTGTGACACCGGTGTACTCGGAGGGGGAGGCGGAGGCGTTTGGTTAGACATTGCAGAGCCCACATGATGTTGAGTTGCTAGTGATGGCACATGTGCTAAGCCAGACAATGCCATAGCAGTCATCCTCGCCCTGTCCTCCAAATACATTTCCATCAATTGATCGATTTTACTCTCGATGTCCTCCACCTGTAATACAAATCCAATTATAGTGACTCTTGTGTGCCATTAGTGCTAAACATACAGCTCTTTCCACTTTGACTATTCTTGAGGCCAAACTAAGCTTTGATTCGTAAACGTCTTTAGCTTTTGAACCGACTTTTCCTAAAATCACATCTAATCTGTTCAACGAAATCACAAATTGTATTAAATATTTTATGAATAAAACATTTTGATTGAGATTTTAAATTGATTTCGAAATAAATTTTTATATTTCATTGCATTGACCAAGATATAAAGTACTTTTCATATACAGTACTATATAAATTATTTATGTGCTATACACTGAGAATATTATAAGGCCGGGAAGGTACAATGCCATGCTATCCTGGATTAGTTCTCGTTAATTATCATAGCATAGAGCAGTGCACTTCTTCGCACATTGATGACAAATGCAACCCTTTTTGTGAACTAGGTGCGAAAAAAATTGCACTATTTTATGCTGCAACTTAACACTACTAATCCTCATAACATTGTTCCTTCCCGGCCTTATAATATTCTGCCTGTATGATATATCAATAGATACAATATACAGTATAATATATACAGTGCTGTGCAAGCATCGTCCGTATATGAATTGGCCAATCACAGCAAAGTAAGAATCGTGCTTTTATTAATTGCATTGTGACACTCAAAGCGAACTCAAAACAATGCATTACAGCTAATCACAGACAATCACCACATTTCTAAAGCAACATTTATGGGCAAAGCTATGCCCTTTAAACATGCCTACACGGACACTGATTGCATAGCACTGTATATAAATTTAGAGATTTGTACAGTAAATATATTGCAGTACTGTAACAAATTGAATAAACACAACTTGTGCCCAAAGGCGATATAAGGTTTATAAGTATTATAATATAATTGTATTTAATATTGTAATATGATAGAATTGTATGCATTTGATTGTCTTATCCATATTTTACTCTAATAATATGTTATATTGAATAAAATAGAACTATGTCAAAATTACAGAATTTGTATGCATTTTATAGTGACAATTTATACCATAATGTATAGTGTATAGCAATTGTCATCAAACTATATCATTAAATGAAAGTCTTTTTGTATGATGTGTTGCTCAAAGACATAACTGCATTCTTACATTATTATACTGCATAAAACTCCAAATAAATATAAACAACAAAAAATAATGAATAATCCTTTTCCATACAAAATAACTTTCACTATAAACTTATAACTCAAATGTGAATTTATAAGAATTCAAAAAATAGTTGAATCTTTATTATTATTCTAGAAATACGTATAAAAACTAAATAAAAATATCTA